GAACTGAAAGAGCATATTGTTTGTGTGGCAATTGATGAGGCACATTGTGTACTACAATGGTAGGTCTATGCTAGATATTTTAATAATTTAATAAATAAATTAGCCAAAGTGCTTTCCCTTGACTACAGAGCCTCATTCTATTGCAAGAGAATTTGGCTAATTGTCATATGTTTATACTAAGTTTTAAAGGATTATTGAAATTATTGAAAATGTGGCGAGATAACCAACGATTGGATAGGGAAAAATTTTTTTACACTTTGGTTCATCACGTTATATAATTAGCCTTGCAAATAAGTAACTTTATACAGTAACCTACTCTGAACTCACTTGATTTATTTTAAACTGTAGTAAATGTTTGACAGGGTGAGGAAAGATATGTCGTCGTGCTCACACTTGATGTCGTGTTTGCTGCATTAGAATGGGATGGCTAAATGAACATGATAACAAACATTTAGATAATTACACCCTCGAAGTCATATAAAGAAACACAAGATGATGAAACTACACAGTAAATACGTTCGGTTATCTCCTCTACAATGTATACTACTTCTTCATATTTTTGGTTTAATGGCGTGAATTGTCTGTAATAAGTTTATGGATTATTCGTCCTAATTTTGTGTTAAAATATTAGTGCAAAAATTATAATAATTAACACACCCAAGGCTGCAAGACCAGGAGTAAAGCACTTTATGACGACCACATTATATTTATATAAAATTAAAGTGTTTGCAGTAAAAGAAAGCTTGTCTATTTTTGCGTATCAAATAGAAATTTATTTAATTACCCTATCTTTTGTCACAATACAATATTTGTCACAATAACTCTTATTTGTTACAGCGATGCAAAATTGCAATTATCGTACGTGTAATTTGACAAGTTTAACTTTCTAGCTATAACAAATAAAGTATTTTTAAACAGTCTCACTCGGACAATATTGGGATATCATACCAGCAATATTTAGTAAACACCGATTTCAGTTAGTATATACATAGTTGCATATTTCTTCGGCAAAAGACTGGTCTTTTTATAATAAAATTTAAATAATGTCGTCGTACCTGTGCTTTGTCGTTGGAAAACTGCAATGATCTGGCTGAAAATCTACAATTTCTTTCGTTAGGTCTCGATGTTTTCGATGGTGGAGATCTAATCGAATTTGGCGAGGATGGTATTGTTTTTCTTTTCCCTCGAGGACTAATATTTTCCTTATAACTTTTAATTTTCTCGACGGCCCTATTCGCATTATTTCGGCAATTTCGACAACAATGGCGAGACAATCCAGGCTTGTCTCGTCTAATAGACAAACCATATGCCTTGAAAAACAGCATCGCTGTTGATGTATAATCATTTTCTGCATTGTAAAGTACATATCTCCTAGCGGGCGGACAGACTCCATTGCATATTCGACATCGAACTTCACCTGACATTTTTTATTTCTCTGAGTTGTTTACGTTTTGCGCGCGCGTTTAACAGGTGTAAGGGTTTTCCCTTCTCCCGGAAGTCAATCGCAACCGTTTTGATTGGACAAGTTGACGCATGCGCATGCAAATTCTTCTGGACCCTTCTTCTCCGCCGCGCCGTGTGGCGAGAATAGGGTCTGGGACTGGACTACAGGTAACGATGTAGTACCACAAAATATGATAGGGGACATTTTTTTGGGACACCCTGTAGAGGGACACTCTCAACTGACAAAGTATTTCTGACTTTTCCAGGCCATGTCACCCGCACTGGGTAGGATGGCTTAGTTTTGAAATTTTAACACGAAGAAGTAAGAGTTAATTACCGAGAACAAGATTTCTTAGGGAGATACAACCCAAGGGGTGTGACTCAAGGTACTATTAATATGGTTGAATTGGATAATTTATGCATAATTGACTTAATTTTCAGGCAGAGGTATGAAGTCTCAGACTGCCCTCGATCAAGGTTTCTTTGAAAAAGGAGCAAAATATGACAGTGCATAGTACTTTCGAATATCTAATTCAATAATACAAAAAATACAAATAAAAAAAATACAAAAACCGTAAATACAAAAACCGAATGGCTTCAGTTTAACATATCCATCCATATGCCATTGGTAATTTGGACCTTTGTTCATGCATCTTCTTCTTCTCAGCCGATGTTTCGATCTGCGCTCAACTCCTGCTAGATCACATATTTTAAGTAGCTCTCTCACCGTTTCTGAGGTTTCTCTTCCAACAAGGCAACAACAAGCTGGTAGTCAACTTGCAATCTTTACGTCATTAGTCTATATCCTGCCAGGTCACCACTTTTACTCAAATCTTCATTCATAGCGGGAGATAATGTCTCTTAGATCCGATGTATTTGTCCTTTTTAATTATGCCAAGGTTTTTTACTGATCTCTTCAAATGCGTAAGCTTAAAGTTTCGGATACACGAGCAATATTTTTGCTGCGATGGTTACGCAATGTGTGATAACACAGCATTGCGTTGCCGTCGCACAAGGTGGCTACACCTGCAATATTTCACCTGCAATATATGTCTTCATAACGCTTTTCATTGGCTGGTCAAGAAACGTGTCATTCATCAACCTTGACCTTCCTTGACCACACCTCCCAATTTTCGGCAATCATTGCCGAAAATCAAATGATTTGAAATTTCGGCAACGATTACGCGCAGCTTTGCGTTGCCGTCGCAGAGCATGATACACAAGCAATTTCTTTGTCGCAACGGCAATGCAACGATTTTACCACCATTGCATTGCCATCGCCAGAAAAGTATTGCCCGTGTATCCGTAGCTTAACCGTATTCCATGATGCATTAGAATGAAGAACAATGCTTCTTTATATTTAAAATCCAGCTTGAAGCCATTTAATAAGATCTGATCGCTCCAAATTATCATTTATAAGACTATATCTATGTATGGTGGATGAACACATTCTACCTGAAAAACTACCAGTAAAATCACCACCAAATAAACCACAAGCAAAATTACTCTAAACGACATATATAGTAGTCTTTTTTGAGAATATCATGCAGAGAATGCCATGCAAGAAAACAAAAAAAAGTCGGCCAAAAACTTGACATAAAACTCGGGCAAAAAGTCGGCCAAAATAAATGTAGAGTTTTTCATGATATGATTTTGAAAAATGTAGAAAGCTTTTACGGTAATTAGTGAAAAATGTAATAAATATGAGATTAAACAGATATGAGATAATTTGAATGTTACCTACAGCTTGGGCTCCGCCGTGCACCAAGAGAATTGATACGTATCAAATGCGAAATTTCTGTTTGTTTTTATTACAATCACGGTAATTAATTACAATCACGGTAATTAATCATTTTAAAGAATAATACATAACATAAAGTAAATTTCATTCTGTCAATCCTTATAAATTTGAACCTCGAACGTCAGTTTCTTATCGAGATACATGCATGCCTCGGGAGCGTAACCCTCAGAAAGCATCCCTCGGACCTTACGGCCCTTAATTGGGACGATTTCTTCAGGTCACGCCCCTCGGGTTTTATCTCGTTAAGAAACTTTGTTCTCTGCAATTAAATCTTAGTTAGAAGGCTTAGCGCAATACATATATGAACGTGATATTTCCGACAAATCAGTATATCCTTCTCGGGAAAGTACGTCACTTTGGTTATAAGAGACTTACTTTAATTCATGAAAGAGCCTCATTTTCAGTCTTGATTGTAATGTCGTCTTCTCTTTATTGATTATGTTATTTCGAAAATATGTCATTAATGACAGGGCTAGCGCTTGTTTAAAGCAACTGTCTCAATCATGAAAACGTGCCTCAGTAGCCACGGTGAAGTTCCGCGGAAATTAAAGGGAGTATCAAAAACCTTTTGTCTTATAATAGCATATTGATGCTATATATACTATGTATAGAATCGAATAGTTGCTATATGCACCCTGTAGTTCGATATAAAACAAAGACATCTTTGTTATTAAATTTGCATGTTGTTTAGTTTTCACTTCCCGTGCCATAATTCACTCGAACTTCAACTGTTCAACACAAACATGGTTGACACTTTCAAGCGTCTTTTGTACGACATAAGCAAACGACTTTCTAAGGAAGAAGTTATAGATCTTGTGTACCTTTGTAAGGTTCCACAATCAGCGCAGACGAAAATACAAGATGGGAAAGATCTATTTAAATATTTAGAAGAAACTGGTGTTATTAATGAACAAAAAATTCATACACTTAAAAAAGTGCTATATCTATTACGACCAAAACGTCAAGATCTGTTGGATTTAGTCGACAGAAAATTTCCTGAGGATGATAATCGATCGAATCGTTCAATCTCTATTTGTACGACAAATACAATAAATACCGTAAAAAGCGACACAAGTGGATATTCTTACGTTGCCAATACAAATTAAAGCACATGCTTTCAAGTCAAGCAAGACAAAATGCAGACGGTGGCGATGGTGCACAGCCACAGAAGAAATATTTCATTGTTGACTGTTACTGTATTCAATTTTACGGATGCTCAATAACGAAACCTTTCTGTTGTTGCTACGGGACGACAATCCTCCTGCTTTTCCTGCTTCTGATTTCTGTTCTCTTTTGGTTTTCAGGAAAACCTAAGACTGTGCACACGTACCTCAATGCGAACGAGTATCGTAAGGATATCGGTTTTATCGTTGTAAGTGTGCTATCATTTTTACTCATAATTGTGATATTTCCATACCTGATTCGAAAGCATGGTCCAAAGATATTTACGTGGTGTAATCGAAAAGGTCGTGAGACTCGTGAACGACGACGAAGTCTACGAAATGAACGGCAGCTACTACGCGAAAGTCAAGCGGTGTTAAGCCTGTCTGAACAAAGTTCACGAAATTCTGCTGCGAAATTGAAAGTTGATAATTATCCATCAGATCAGCGTACACACGAAAACTCAGTACTTGATATAGAAGCCCAGAGACCAGGAAACCAGATACAGTCCATATGAATTTTAATAATACTACCTATATATATATAGCGGATGTCAAATCATTGCCGTTGTAATCAGCGAAGCCCACCATGCGTTACTGACGAAAGTAAATTGAGACAAATGCATGCCATATAAAATACTAAGGCTGAACATCGTAAAACAATTTAATCGAACAGCATGTAAAGCTTGAATGTGTTTTATGTTGTATGCAAAGTAAAAATATATCATTTGTTTATTCATTCTTTTATGGCAGTTGCCGAATGGTCACAGTTATTTGATAACTGCGTCTTATATTAAAGCCTTATATTTAATTCGTTCCAGTTACATGTAGTAGAATGACTCTAGAAGCACTACAGGCTTTTCTCTAGTAGGCCTACGTACTCCAGAGGAAACAAAGTAGTAAACGAATAAGTTACAAGGTAAGCAATGGCAGCAGCACATCGCCATATATCCAAACACTTTATCATGCGTGAATATGAATATAAATGATATAGAATTATTAAGCGAACAGCCTAACAACATCGGTCGCGTTGTGCGCGATAAAGTATATATATATATATATATATATATATATATATATATATATATATATATATATATATATATATATATATATATATATATATATATATATATCTATACTCCCGCGCAAAAATTCATATATCAAGTTATAGAAACATTTTTTTTTTAGCTTTTGAACAATCAGCGCCCGTGTTTTTAAAAGGCTATTTAAGATATATATATATATATATATATATATATATATATATATATATATATATATATATCTTAAATAGCCTTTTAAAAACACGGGCGCTGATTGTTCAAAAGCTAAAAAAAAACGTGTTTCTATAACTTGATATATGAATTTTTGCGCGGGAGTTTAAAAGACAAAATGCAAACAATATTTAATTTTGAAAAAAGTTGAAAAATGTCCTGGAACGCCGATTGAACCGTTACAAAAAAGGCAACACTTTGCTAACTTAGAAAGCGAAGACCTAAAGCACAAAGTATAAATTATACAGCACACATTTTATCTGTTTGACTGTTTACCAAGGTAAGATATTTTAATTTTACTTTGACTTTTTAAAAAAATATTTCCTCACGACGTTTTTAATCATGTTTACTATAGTTTTTAATCATGTTTAAACGTTCACTAACTGTTTAAAACAGTGCTTTCTTTGCATGCAAGCGTGTACGTTGTTGAGTGAATTATATACTTTGTAAAGTAAGCCTGTTAATAAGTGCTGTCTGTTGTTTTGACAGCGATGTACTTGTTTTATACTTCGCTAGGGCTATGCTTTTATAATTATTCTTTACACGAATGTATATATTAAGGTGGAATTAATATTTGAATGAAAGCAATTAAAATCAATAAATTTATCTTTTCTATATATATATATATATATTTATATATATATATATTACTACATGAGTTTTGCGAAGCAGAAAAAAGGAAAATATTCGCTTTGAAAAAAATAATAGTACAAGAAAAAACTCTCAAAAAGGTTTGACAGGTTAGCAAAATACATTTATTACATAGAAATTAGTTTAAATACAAGTTTTTTAAAGAATTAATACCGAAACAACAGCGAAATAAACATGTTCATTGAGAATTTAAATTGTTCAGAAAAGTTTGCAACGAAAGACAAATGAATTTGCAGTCAACAAGCACTTACTATACTACCCAACATCTGTATAAGATATCTGAGCTTTTTTGTGAGATATACCGGTTCTAAAACCATTTCTTTCACTTCGTCTTCGAGTTCTAAAACAAAAGTGTTTCAAATTTTCAAAAAACACTCCTAATTAGTATTATTTATATAAAGAATACTAATCAGGCAGTATCTATTGAATTTGTAGTCGTGGTTGAAGCCGTTTAATAAACCCGCAGGTCGTGTTTTATTAGGTCTAAAGTCACTCGCGCTGCACGCTCGTGGCTTTAAACAGGCTAATAAAACACTCCTGCTCGTTTGTTAAACAGTACATAACTGCTCGTCTTTCCATAACTGCGTCTTTTCCATATGTTCCCTAATCCCTGTAATGCACGTGTCCGTGCCCGCATTTCCCAATATACCGGAAGGGTGTATTAGTATATCAGTTGATACTGCTGCATGCGCCGTCGAGTTAATGTCTTCCCATTTTTTGCACTACGTGTCACTACTATACATAGGCTTTCGAACTTTAACAAGGCATTTATTTGAACTGATAATGAACAGGACATTGACCCTCTTCCTAATCGATTAAGCAAAGTGAAAATTGCAGATTGAGGCAACTTTTGGGAACTTACTGGACAAAAACAGAGGTATAAACTGACATGTGTAAATCTACTTACAAATATAGATGGGACACAGATTCTTTTGAAAAACAACACAACAAAGCATTCACTCAAATGTTTGATATATTCTCGCCCACGCCTAAGAGCCGGAAACCACGGCTGCTGCACCCACATTCACTTCTTTCAGTAAATTTTGCGTAATTGCTAACAAGTTTAAGTACCTAAACAGCGAGCTGAATACACAATCGAATGATCGATTTGAAAACTTGTCGATATAATTATCGATCCAAACAAAGTTGTTGTTCTTTAGACTACACTGGGCAGGGATGCTGGAAGTTCCTGATGGCAAAGGGGTGCGATTTGTTATCAAAATGGCATACCTTTTAACAAAAGGGCGCAAACAAAAATCACCCTTTAGGGTACTTACAGACACAAGGGATTTCAAATGAATCAACCTTCCATTGATTTCAAACATGAAACTGAGGCACGCGGAATTCATAGAAAATATTTTGTGTTCCTTGACTTTTACTTAAGAAAGGTTAGTGTGGAAATTAGCTTATTCGAAACAAGTATAGAGCCATTAACAGTAGTTTTTACATACTATGAAACTAAATCGTTCATGCTATTCGACGTGTTAGAACAGTTCCGGCTTGTTCTAACAACTTCCGCTTCTTTGATGAAATCGTCTTTATTTAGCCGGTTTGGTGAAGGATCAGAATTAAACGTTATGCCAACGGAGATTATTTGGCAACATTGCCAAATTTCATCAACCCGCATTAAAATAACATTTGATCGTTGGTTGTCATCAAAACAATACAGCAAAAAACATATCGTTGGTTGTCATCAAAACAATACAGCATAAAACAATTACTTTATGGTTTCCGTGTTTGGATGGCCTGATCCAAACACTTGGGAATGTTACTCGAGTTAAGAAAAGCGCGCAAAATCACTAGCCTTCGGCTCGTGTTTCGCGCGCTTTTCTTAACTCTCCCAACATTCCCGCGTGGTTGGATCAGGCCATCTAAGCACGGAAACCATAAAGTAATTGTATAATAAAAGTGTTCGAAAATCTATTAGTCAGTTTAATATATGGGAGCTCATAAGTTCCCTGGCATCTTAGATAGTAATTTAATTTAGCTATATTAGGTGCATATAAAGGGTTATGAAGTTTATGATCACTGAATGTAATGACCGAGCTAAATAGCTTATCGTAAAGGTTCTGATGTCTGGAAGATAAGGTGCCTAAATTCGGAAATAGTAATGTCATCAACGAACTTCCAGGTCGGTGAATCTCTCGCTTTTAAATCGTTAATTATCAACAAAAAGAGCCGAGGCTGGGAATTTAGTGCCTTGGGGCCGGGCACACGGCACACCGTATAAAAGTCCGTATTGAATGTGACCCCATTCAGAGTAACAATCGTTCGAGATCTTTATTCTTTGATATTTGTCTGCATGTAAGAAAATCTCTAACCAAAGAAAATATTTCATATGGTATGTCTAGACTGCGAAGTTTTTGGAGAAGAATACAGTGGTCAATTAAGTCAAAAGCTTTAGTATATAGTCAAATAACACAATTCTTACCACTGCAGAAGTACCATCCGTAGCTTTTGCCCATTCATGAATCATGGAGACCAGAGCTTGAGGATTTAGGAAAAGCACCAAATTGGTTAGGATCTATTACTTTTAAGATTGCTGGAGCGATCGGATGTACCTCTACACAACAAATTCCTCAGCGACTTTTGAAATTGGTGATGTTAAAGAAATTGGTTGGAGATGCTTATTAATGTTAATAACCGGTTTGAGTTTAGGTATAGGGGTGACATTGGCATACTTCCAGATAGTAGGAAGCTTCGTTTCCTGGTAAGAACTATTTAGTATGGAGCAAACTGGTACGAGTTAAAAGTTCAACATTAAGCCTGTTTTCCACTTCAACCGTATCGTAGCGAAGCGTAGCGTATTTCTTTGTTTCCTGAGCACTAGAGTGGAACTAATGACTTGGAAACAAAAGAAAATGCTACGAAACGTTACGATTGAAGTGGAAAACAGGCTTAATCTCTCAAGAGCCAGTTCGGAATTCCGTCAGGACCGCATGCTTTCCGCGGATTTAAGTTACGGAGAATGTTATAAACCTCTAATTGAGTAATTAAGACCAAAAGATTCGTCCCTCGGGATTTATCTGGCTTAAATCCTTCCGTTCTTGATGTTTAAGGCCCGTTTTATACGTCGAATTTGGTCGCGTCGAATGCAATTAAGACAATAGATAATGAGATGATAAACCTCATTAATTTAATTAAGCTTCATTATCATTGTTTTTATTGCATTCGACGCGACCGAAATTCGACATATAAAACAGGCATAAAGCCGGTTTTCCACTAGCGAATTTGTTCGTGCGAATCTTTTGTATTATGAGCTCTCGGCGGGAACTAATTAGATTTTTAATCAATTCTTTTCAATTTAAACAATAGAAAATTCGCTTCGCGCAAAGAAATTCGCTAGTGGAAAACAGGCTTAACAGTTTACTGAAAGCACGATTGCATGGCGAGGTTTTGTTCCCAAAACAGCTCTTACGCTTGTTGGCGTAGAATCTGGTTGAAAGATGCTTTATTGTGGACGAGTATGCGCATTTTATCATTTAACGTTCCACAAGAGAAAGAGTATATTTTTTAAAAATCCACTGCATGCAGACGTCAGAGCTCTACCTGTCGAACCAGTTTATCCACGGGCGTCGGATGATAGATCCTTGATGGACCTTGGGAATGACTGGTAGTCTCTTTCTCGTCTAGCGTCGTAGCGACATACAGCGTTTATCTTAGATTAGACGAGGAGATTTTAGGTGCTTGAGTTTGTAGTTGCCTCTTAGTCTAGGACCTGTATATGAGTTTGTATGCATTTCATTTAGGGCAGATAATCTCAATAGTTTTAGGGCAAGTTGACCATGACGGTCAACGTTGTAACACTGCCCGAATCCCAATCCGGGACGAAAGTCCGAAACTGACCACACCCAAAAAACGACGCTTTTGCCATAGTGCTATCTACCAAACCATAATAGCTTTGGCTATATTCTGAGGTGCTTATGTGGTTCAGAGATGGTGCTTTTAGGGGTGCATGGTCATTAGTAAGGTGGCTTACAACTTCAGATAAACAGCAGTGGACCTACATTACCTCTTTTCCTAAATCTTTTTGATAGAAACATATAATTGGTACTTATTTAATTATATTATCACTGTTTTGGTGTAAAATAGTTAATATTTTGTCACCCAAATAATAATTTGAAATGTACTTATACCTCCTGCAAATGGACGTATTTGGCCAAATTCTCCACTTTACTCCGCTGTTTATCGCCGATATGCAATTCACAAATATGCAATTCACCTCAAACATGATGGTATCAAGCACATTTCAAACAAGTTTTAACTGGGTTTCAATGCAAGTAGCTGTTTAAACATGGACAAGGTAAAACCTCAACTTTGTCCAAATTCGGCGCTATTTTGTCATCCCGTGTCGGTTGTAAACAATTCGGCCTCGTTATTCTTTCATCCAAGCCA